CACACACACACACACACACACACACACACACACACACACACACACACACACACACACACAGATACCCTTTCCCTGAATCCCAACTTACTGTCAGTGGTGTCAGAGTCGTTGCTGCTCGTGGAGTATTTTCTCCTCTTCTTTTCGCTCTCCATCTGTTAGGGGGATGGCAGGCAGGCAGGCAGGCAGGCGGGCAGGGAGGGAGGGAGGGAGGGGGGCAAGAGAGAGAGAAAAATGACGAGTGAGAAGATGTTCACCATGAAAACACAAGTGTTAATGAAATAATGTGCTGATGGCACCAATCTGTCAGAGCCTCCAGCAGGCAGCCTGCCAGAATAAACTGACTTGATCACCGTTACACATTAGCACTTTGGACTCCCTGGGATACAGTTGTTCCATTTTTCCTCCCACCACCCCACAACCACCACCACACATACAGAGGGAATCCTTGTACTAGTCGACAATGAATCCATCCTTTTATTAGCCTTGTATTCACTGCCAGCTTTGGCACAAGACCCTTTCTTATGCATCTGTTTCAATACTGAAGGTACTCCTTTCTTCATTATAATGGAGTGAAACCAAATCAAGTGAGAGCAAAAAAAAAAAAAAAACCACAGGCTTCTCTCATCCAGATAAAATCTAGGACGCTTTCTAAAGCTCTAAGCAGCTGTGTTTCTTTGTGATAAAGCGCACTAAAAAGCAACCTCTATCATCTGGACATCTCTTTCTAATAACAGCATTATGTTCATTTGTCACCTTATCTTTCTAATTCTAAGATAAGCACTGAAAACTAAAATTGAGCTTTGGGCCGCTATTCAGTTTGATCCAGAAGGAATTTGTTCTACTGCAAAGTCACAGCAGTGTTTTAGTGATGGGATTAAAACCTGCTTTCACTCAGTGATGTTTTTTTAAAGAAGTGGGGAAGCAAGCTGTAAAGGCATAGAAGATTGTGAGATTTTTGACCACCTTTCGCTTTGTCCTGCAACATTTTTCAATTTCCTTCAAATCCACTGGGAGCCTTCTGTACTAAGAGACGCAAAGGCGCACAAGAGCAAAGCAACTCAGTGCCGATTCCTGCACATTTTCAGTTTTACTGATTGTGGGGTTAAAGGAGCTTGGAAAGAAAAGCGTCTGGACTTCTTTAAGTTGCTTGAAGACGTTTCACCTCTCATCCGAGAAGCTTCTTCAGTTCTAAGGTCAAATGGTGGAGAGTC